CTAAAAAAGTTTTTCTGAGAATCATCCTCTTCTTACACCACTCGCAAATGATTTCGTTAATTTTGGGGTGTCTGTAACTTTTACATGGGTAGCTGCTAAATAGACGAGATAGATCACTCAGTTGGTCTTTAATGGCTATAATATCTCACTTTGTGTGCGCAAAAAACGAGAGAATTGAAAATGAAGGCTTTTATTCAGATGACAACATATTAGAATTAGGATATGGACGTGGCAATGCGCTGCAATACTGTTTTGATAGGATTTCGGAAGGAGAAGGCGTGGTGAGTCATTGGCTTTTGTATGCTTGGTTTGCCTACGGGAAATCTCACCTTGAATAGGTTTGTGTCTGAATTTACACTTATTTTCCCAGCTGTTTGCCAATGCAACTAATACATAAATCACTGCTATTCATATGCTATTTAATTTGTTTACCAGGTGTTCGGAATTGATCGTTCTCCATATATGTACGATTGTGCGCTGCACCGATTTGCATTGGAAATTGCTGAAACTGGAAAAATTAGACTTGACCATGTCAGCTCAGTTTTTTCGCCATTCCTTCTGTCACTAAATGAAATAAATCCAAACACATTTTCAGGCTCCAGACCTACGCAATCTGCCGTACCCATCCGGTATTTTTGATCACATCTTTCACGTGGATCTCTTTTATTTTATACACCAAAATGTGATGAATGAAGTATGTAGGGAACTTTGGCGAGTTTTGAGACCTGGTGGAACGATGGTTTGCGGAATGCAATTTGAAAGGTGCAGTGTGATCTGCAAAGCAATTTTTACTACAAACCTAAATTCAGACTGAAGAAACTGTCTCACTGGGGGTTGCTCGAAGAATCTCAATGGGATCCCTTGCGCTACATGACGTGCCTTGAACCTGCCGGGTTTGTTGATGTCAAGGTAATGTAGAAGATACACTTTTCTGCGTCCATAAAACCTTACCAGGCTGTGGAGAAAGTTTCTGAGCAAATTTTGGAAATTCACATGAGTTAATTTTGACTGAAATTATATGGACACCTTGAAGTTGGCAAGCTTGACTTCCTTTGATCATTTCTGATTAAAAGCTTGGCTGTCTGATGAAAAAAGTATCACCACCTGCGACGAAAACTCTAACTGTTAGATCTAGAGCAACAATGCACAGA